ATACCGTTAAACAAAACTAATAATTTAACAATAAAATAAATATGCAGCGCACTTCAATTTCAAAATTCTATGTGAATTTTTATGTCTCCCTCCAAACTTTTCAATCATTCCATTTTAAATATTGAAAATAACAATTATTATTTTTACCACTCCACCATTTCACAAAGTATCAATTTTATGTATGTATATTCCACAAGTTAAATTGGCTTAAAAGTTTTGCAAACATAAATTGTGTTTTACTTATCAAGCAGACAAAAAGTTTGACGAAATCAAAATTATTTTGTCGAAAGCCACAAAAAATATGTAACGCAAATGTTGCTGGACTTACCACACACTCACTCAGCCACTCGCTAGCAAACACCCACCCCAAGCAGGACATGGTAAAATTCAACAAAATTTAAAAGCTTAAAAGCTTAAGGCTTGTGTGTACAGACATAAACAACAAGTAGCAAATGCGAAATATAAATACAAATTTATATATATACTCTTATATAAATATATACATTTATATATATGTATATGTAAATATTAAATTTTACTTGACTATAAATTATTTAATTACACCTTCTACTTGAATGGGCGCCGCCGCCGCCGCCCGTATCGCTATTTTATAACTAAATTGTTTTCTTCATGTTTTTGTTTTAGTTGTGATTAATCGCTTTAAAGCAGTCAATCCACCCGCAATTAAAATGCGTTAGAAATAACAGCAACAGCACTTGTAGTCAGCCTATTTGTTGGGGATTTAATTTGTTTGCAGGCGACATTCTTGGGTGTGACCGATTTTAGAAGGGAGCAATGGGTAGCTGAAATGGCATATATTCGTAAATATATACACATACATATTTGTGGAAATTTATGTGTCATTGTGTGTTGATGGAAGAAATTTTGTTGTTACAGAACTACCAGTTTAATAGGGTCACTTTAAGATATTCAAAGAAAAACAATTTAGTGCCACACCAAGGGCAGCAACAGCGACAGCTACACCGGAGGTGTGGATTAATTTAGAGGACTAACTTTTGGGGCAGTCGATTTAAAAACTTGAAATCGGATGAAGATTTAAGTTGTACATCATTTAATAGGAAATATGAAAATAAGAAGAAAATACAACAAAATATTTTTAAAGAGGCATAAATAAAAAACTGATTATGGGTTAAATTATTTCCTTTCAACTAAGTATTTTCGATTTAATTTATTTAATTTAAATAATGAAGTGTTATTTTGTGTTTTAATTCATTTTATTTCGTTGCTTCAAACTACTTCATTTTGATATTTTTGTTTATTGTTGTTGTGTTATTATATTTTATATAATCCTATTTTTTTATTTTAATTTATTATTATTTATTTTATTTTGNTATTTTATTTTATTTTATTTTATTTTATTTTATTTTATTTTATTTTATTTTATTTTATTTTATTTTGTTTTTTTTTATTTTATTTGTTTTTTTATTTTTTATTTTAGTTTATTTTATTTTTTTTTTAATTTATTTTATTTTTTTTTGTATTTTTTTATGTTTTATTTTATTTTATTTTACTTTGTTTAATTTTAGTTCATTTTTATATAAATTACTTAATTGCAATTTATCTTATTTATCTCAGATAAAAATCAAATTCCACTTCGGTTTTAAAATTCATCTCAATTTTTATTGTATGTATTTCATTATGTTTACCTGATTTTAATTTATTTGAATAGAGTATAAAAAACTTCTAACTGAAAACTGTGACCAATACTCACATATTTGCCATGAGCTCGTTCCGAGTGACTGCGTTGAGTAGAAACAAGCGCAAAATTCCATTAATTTTATTTTATTTCTATGCAACAGTATTGAATATTTACATAAATTTATACATAAATAAACTTATGTGCATAATTGCATATTTGTAAAATACAATATTACATACACATATGAGAAAATCCATCTGCATACCATACTCGTATATGTTCATCAAAGCCATTTAAGCTTTTTCACATTAGTGGCGTGGCTTGCGTGAGCAATAACAGCAACAAAGTATGCGAGAATAGGTGAAAAATAATTTTTAGGCATCTACTCACTGTAAGAGTACAAAATTCTACGCTTGTTTTTGTTGTGTAGCTGACCACCACATTGAATACACGCAAGTGCAATTAAGTCAAAGAGGACACATATAATTTTCATATAAATATACGTACATATGTATTTATTATATTCATAGAATTAATTACAATTTGAGCGAATGAAAATTTAAATATGAAAATACCACTTCTCTTGTCACACACAAACATACACACTAAAGCGATTGGGAAAATTTTCAACAGAATGATTTTCGAAATGCAATTTTTAATCTTTAATACTGAGTTAATATACATATGCATAGAATATATACATAATACAAAAATTTTCGTGGGTGAGTAGTTTGTGTGCGATTTTCAGCATAACGTGTGATTATCAACGCTTAAACTCACTTGTTGCCACTATGCTATGTGATTTTGATTATAGTTTTGCACGCAAAATTGCATTTTCAAATTGTGCGCGTGTAAAGGCAAGCGGATTAATTTTGATTTGTATGTGATTATGGTTGGAAATATTGTTTTTAATTGTTGATTTCGTTTTTGCGATTAAATTTAACGAGTTTATTTAAATATTTTTCATAAATAACAGTGTTCAGTTAAGCTATTTTTGGTTGAAAATTAAAGTTTTTGGCCATAACTTCAATTGTTGATTTTTTCCGAAGAATCTTTAAGCAATCTTTGTGACTTTTTGTTTTGTTTTTAATACAAGCAAAACTTTTGATATTTTCTAAATTTTTGAGAATAAATTAATGAGTTCGATAACATTTTGAATAAAAAAAAAATATTCACAATAAATAATATAATAAAATGATATGAAAGGAATTTATTATTAAAATTCATATATGATGACGTGAGTTCTATCAAAAAAAAAAACCAATAAAACTTTTACCGCTACATGTAAGGGAAAATACAGCTTTTCACGCCCACATGCACATATGAACGCATTTTATGTATAAAAACCAATTCATTTGCAATTAATAATAAAATAACCAAATACTTGACAAAAAAACGCTGACCCATTATTACTCAGGTGAAAAACTTGTGACACCCACAAACAAGTTTTGTAGCGACACACCCGCATACGTATTAATAAATAACTAAATAAAATCATAATGTTAAATCGGTGGTGACAAAGTGACACATTTATACATATACTGAGAAAAAAGGTCGCTTTGGTTAACAAGTTCAATGGGATATACACCCAGTAGAAAAAAGTTACGTGATAAAGAAATAAATGAATTTCAATTTTTTTGGCAATTAAATTTTTGTTTATGTTGCCAAGAAATCCAGTGACTGAGTCAAGTAAAGTTTGGTTACATGTAAAAAATATAAAATATTTAATATAATACAACCAAGCATTAACATGATTCCTAAATTATATTATATAGTTACAAAGTAGTCTATAATGAACAAGTTTGTCCATATCAAAGTTAATTGCAAAATAATCCATGTAATATTATAAGGTGATTTTTCCAAATATTTCCATACACCTATGCAACCAGCTTTTAAATAGTTACAAAGTAGTGCGAAATAAGTCAGTCTTATCATTAAAAAAGAGAAATTCCAATTAATATCTGCATATTTTTATATTATTATCTTTGCGTTTTATTTAAGTACTTAACTCAAAGGCCATGGAACGGAAACTCAAAGATTGATTTTTTTTATAAAGTCGTTAATAATAAACATCAAATTAGCTATATTTTAAGGCAAATATTAATGAAATTTGTTTTTTTTTTTTAAATTTTTTAGTATATAAATAAGTAATTTTTTTAAAGTTCAAATTCGACGTTCTAGCGAAGAGGCTGTATTTTTGTAAGCATTATTTCCAGTAGCAGTTTTTCGCATAAATTTAAATATTTCATGAGCTTTCAACTACTTTTTTGAGTAGCTTGAACTAGTTTTAATTAGAGCAATAACCTACTAGTTCATTTGGAACCAGCTACTAACTAGTTTCTAATTAAAAAGTAACCTTCTAGCTGCTTTTAATTTTATTTATTAAAAATACTTTCGAAAACGTTGTTTGTCCTATATCCTACTGGTTCTCTTCCGACACTAAATTTACCACTCACACTCAAAGTAGAAGGGCATTTTTAATGACAGTGAGGCAGTTGTAAGCAATAATTATGGACACTAAAACATAATGGTTACTATTGAATGTAACGAGTGCGCATTTGTGGGAGGCTCAGCAAATTCACACGAGACTAAATGAAATGGCCGGTGTACAGGTAAACACTCCCCAATAGTAATTACGTAAGGCCCAATAGAATAGTGCTCAACAGAAAATTCTCAGGTAGTGGGGGCAATAAAGTGTGACATAAAGTTTTCAGTGTTGCAATCATGAAATTTAATAGGAATATATTTCTTAGAATTAAAGTATATTGGAAGTAGTACCCCACACACAAAAAATGTCGTCAAGTTTGCTCGGAAGAATACAACTTTAGTTAGTTGGATAAGGGCAGTGCGGTGCCTATGTGTAACAGCAGCGTCATCTAATGTATGTGATGTACCACAAAATTAGCGCTTGTGAGGCTAGTCAATTTAGCTTAGTGGCGTTTTGGCTTGTGTACCTGGCAGCTGGCTGACTAATTTAAAAGCCCTCTTGTTAATTTCTGATAAATATTGATTAGCAGTGAATAATACTTATTAGAAGGCCAAATGGAGGTGGCAAATAAAAGACTATAGCCTCATCATTTGTGGGAAAAAACATTAGAGGCGGAGATCGGCCGAGAATCCTTTCGGTCTCTAATAAATATGTATTTTGAGACATCAAGGGATAGGAAATTAAAAAATATTTAAGAAAATTTTAATATACTTAATTTTTTTTATGTCTCATTATTACATGGCACTTTGAATTCGGGCACGTTTTGTGATATTATAAAAGTAATTTTTTTTTTTTTTTTGCAAATCCCCATATTTAAAAATAGTATCAAATAAACTTCCACTTTCTACTTACAGTTAACATTCAATGTAGCGGTCGCCTCCAGTCGTTGACCATCGTTCATGGCACGATTCCGCACGACACACTTGTATTTGGCGCCATCATCTTCACGACGCGGTTGCAATGTTAATGTTGCATTTGTAGGCTGATCCTTTGAGCCACCCGTACGGACGATGGCTTGTAGTGGTGTATTGGTGCCCTCGCGATACCAACTACAGCAGGCAAACAGAAAACGAGTTGCAATATGCGGTCGACGAAAACAAGCACATGAAAGAGAATAATAAGTTTGAAAGTGAAAAGTCAGTTGGTTGTAGTAAAAAGAAGGAACAAATAAAACAAAAACAACAAAATATGTGAAAATAAAATCAACTTGTTTTAATACACACATGAATTTATTTTATAAAAGTGTATGTATGTGTGTGTGTGCTCTTGATTTTTATAAGACGGAAAACGTTGACAGTTAATTTGCGTTGCTCCCTTTTTTGGCTCGTCCGCTTCGTTTGTGCGCCTCTTTGTTTCCTGCTCGTTAGTTGCTATCGCTTGTTTTTGACTTGTGTATGTGTTGCATTTTTTGGCGCACTTTTTCTCAAAGTTTCAGTGACTCTAATTTGTTCTTTCTCTACTTTTTACAGATTTTATCTTTTGCAGTTTTTTCTTTTAGCTTTTTTACTCTTCTTTTGGCAGACAACCACAATGAAGTGTGTCGTAAATATTTAGGGATTGCAAGACAAAGCAGCAGTTGTTGCCACAAGCCAATATAAGAGCATATATGACTTTAACTGCGAACACACATGGATATACATGCACTAAATACAGTGACGATCAAAATTGAAGAGATCAGCATTGGTTTTCTAGAGCATACTTATATGTTTAAAAATTTTTTTATTGTAGTTATAATTTAATTAAATTTTTATAATGAAAATATATTATAAATTAGTATTCAAGATATTCAAATAATTTATTAAAATAAATTAAATTTAAAATTTAATAACAGAAATAAAAAGTAAATACCAAAATAATATAAAAAACTAATTATAAAATAAATAATTAAAACAAAATAAATTTCATTTAAAATCAAATAAAAACATTCAAGTTAAAAAAAATGAAACACAAAATTAAATAAATATCTATACAACAAAATACATCAAGTTAAGTTACATTAAAAACGAAACCACACTTACTAAAAAATTAAGTTACAACAAAAGTAAATAAAATATTATACTGTAAAATATTTGTTATTACAGAACACTAAACTAATTTAAAAAAATAAAATTAATAATTAGGAACCCAAAAAATATTCTAATAAAAATACCAATAAAGTTTAAAATAAACAATATAATATAAAAACAACAAAAAAAAACAAAATCATATAAACTATAACAAACTAAAACTAAATTAAATAAAACTAAACTATGATAAAATTCATTGACATTAATTAAAGTAAAACATAATTAATTAAAATATCGTTGAGTAAATTAAAGAAATAAAATAAAAAAATTTCTTAATACTTTATTTATATGTCATTTTAAATTAGTACAATAAGAAATAAAATAAAATAACAAGAAAAAAAATAAAAAATTTAATAAAAAACAAAAAAAAACTCGAATATATTCAAATAAAAATACAAAAACACTTTATGAGGTACAAATTTCGACATTTTCAAATCAATGAAACAAATTGGTGTTCACGCTAAAACTAATGACTTCTACTGAAATTATGAAATTAATATAGCCACAGATGAACACAACGCGAAACAATACTAGGAGAACCCTCCATTAGAAAACCGCACAAATTGATGCATACACCCAATATTAAAAAATATATATCGTAAAGTAAAATAAATAAATAAAATATTTTATGTATATTTTATTTTCAAAAAAAGACAGATAAGATAAAAATATTAAAAAGCAATTAAATTAAAAAAAAATTCATAAAAAAAGTAACTAAAAGAAATTTCGACCGCCGAAATGCGCTTAATAAGTGAGAACGAAATTTTACACTACAGTGTGTAGTTGGCTCCAAATATACAACTCACTCTCATTTTTGGCAATCAAACGACATGACGTAGAGGTATTAAGAAGTTTAATAGGAATTTATTACTGACAATCGCTAACGAACAAAATAACAGTAAATTTTAAGCGCACTCGCAACTAAAACTTGTACAGGATGTAAAATTAAGTTACCGGCAGTGAGGCGTAATAAGCACGGGGAAAGAAACGAGCAAACGAGAAGTAAAAATAAAAAATTTATTTTTTAACAAGCAAAGCCAAGAAAACTACCAAAAAAAAAAAATAATAATAAATTAGTAAATTAACGAAATAAATATATAAACAGAAAAAATTAAAAATAAAAAACTTTAAAATAACAAATAAAAATTGAATAAATAAAAAGTTAAATAAAATAGAAGAGATGCAAAATTGCATTGGCAACCACACAAAAGTGGGTTAAAAATTTGCATTTAATTAAAAACTATGCTGTTAGCAAATTGCGGTCTAATTTTTTCCCTCATTTTATGTTAATAAATCACGGTGTGTTACAATGCGAATAAATAGAAGAAATGTCTGTAAAAGTGATGATTTTGTGTTTAACAGTAAAACAAAACTTTTTGAGCGGAAAAAAATCAGCTTCGGCATACAATTTTCTTACACCACAGTGACAGATAAATTTTTTAAACCATTAGTGGGCGTTATATTGACCATAAGTTAAACCGATAAAGTTACAAAATCTTAATTACTACCAAAGTATTTTCTTACTATAAGTGCATGCAAACTGAAAAAAATTATAATTCTTCAGTATAAAAGTGAAACCAGCTACAATGGAAAATTTAGCAAAGTCTTGGATGAGATACCAGCATCACGATTTGAGGGCATGCACCAGGAATGTCCGGTCCTCTAATTGGTAAGGTGCCGCTGCCCAGCTGGGCGATGTCTTCGTAAGAATAAAGGCTTACATCACCGCCGTCCAAACAGTGCGACGGACGGGACAAGGACGTAAGCGAGTAGGTTCTTGTGACATTTATTACGGCATTCACACCGGTGGATGAGCGTCTCGCCAAAATCCGCATCAAAGCGAAATTTTTCAACATATCGTTGATTTGCGCTAACGCCTCGACGGAAGATATTCTTCTCGATTTGGCCGAAGATACCTTTTATGAGCGCCTAGATCATATTAATGAGCGCTGCCTCCGACACGTGATAACCTTGCTTGGTGATTGGAATGCCAGCGTGGGCAAATCAGGTATTTTTGTGACAACAGTCGGAAAATTTAGTCTCCACGATGAATGGGCTGAGGCTGATCGACTTCGCAGGGGCCCGAAATATGGTTGCCTCTAGTACTAGATACCAGCATCAAAATACGTCAAGCTACTTGGCTGTCACCTGATCGAAAAAGACAAAACCAGATCGATCATGTTGTGATGGACAGACCGAGGACCCGACATCGACTCTGACCATTACGTTTTTGCAAGTGAAGATACGCAGGCGCCTCTGTTTACCTAAGAAATCCAGTCGACAAACTCAAGATAATAACGACGTCGAGAAACTGAAATCACAAAAGAACGGTTTTCTACTCCTGTTCTCTCAGAGCACACATCTGCTACTAGGTATACGGGACTTGTGGGACGGAATTTCAAGCTTCCTACGTACAGCTGCAAACTAAACTATTGGATTTCGTAAAGGTCGGAAAAACAGCTGGTACGATGAGGACTGCCGTGTCGCAGTGGAGAGAAAACAGACTACCTACCTCGGAACGTTGCGATCGACCACAACACGCGAGGTAAGGGAAAGATACCGAGAGCTGAAGAGGTAATACTCGAAAATTCTATGAGAAGAAACTACAACTTACAGAAGGTTTCAAGACCGGAGCAGAGCCTTGTAGGACACAAACAGGTGATCTAGCCACTGATGCCCAGAGTATATTGAATTTATGGAGGGAACACTTCTCCAACGCGCTGAATAGCAGTGAAAATGGAGTATTCGGACATAGTGAACCCTAACCCCAATCGATGACGATGGAAACTACGTTCCCTTACCTGACCATGAAGAAGTTCGAATGTCAATCGCCCACTTAAAAAACAACAGAGTGATTCTCTTCTGATTCTGCTTAAACTAGTTTCTGAAGAAAAACGAGAAAATAATAGGAACAAAATCATTTGTGTTCACTCACATTGAACTACTTCAAATGCTGAGTGGCAAAATAAAAACCAAAACGGTATAACTGGCATTAAATTATTTAAAACTTAAGAAATTAAGTGAGTTGTGCAAACACAAGATTGCTCAGTTTGCCGTTGTCCACTTCGCTCGACGTATGTACTGGCAGTCAATTGCACCTCTTCAACGCGGATTAAGGACATTTTCATTTGGCGTTGCTTAAAAAAGAACACACACACTCAAACACTTTCATTTATGCTTGAGCGTAAATAGCGAGCTCATTCAGTTGACCAACCATCTAGACAGCCAATCGTTTAAAAGGTAGCCAGCATACTCGCTAGCGCACAGTCTGCAAATAATGGCAGTAAGAATCCTTTTAAAAAAATTTCATAGCCACTAAGAACGAAATGCTGGGAGGAAAGTGCATGAGTAAACGAGTAAAGCATTCAATTTAAATAAATTTAATTTTAAATTAATACGGTATTATTGCCGCCCACAATACGCGGCAGCGGGTGTTAGGTAAGCGAAACTATGTATTTATGTATGTATGTGCTTATACCTAAGTGTGTGTGTACCATTTGCCATGCGTTGGTGAGCAGCAGAAATGAGTTCTATTGGCATTTTAATATATGCGCACGGCAGAACATACATATACACAGAAATTTTATAATTTTTTTATTTTATTTTTTTGATTTCTTTTTTTTTTTGTGTAAGTTTTCAGGTCTTATACACCACACACCCATACAATATCTGCTAAGTACTTACGTTATCGTTGGATCCGGTGAGCCGCCAATACTACTGCATGTCAGCTCCATTTTCACATCCTCGGTGGCAATGGCCACATTACCCGGCGAAATGACGGGTGGATGTGGTGGTGTGAGGACGGTTAAGTTGTAAAACTCTTGATGGACGTCGGCGCCCGTACCTTTCGCCTTAATGCGACATTCGAAGCGACCATTGTCGCGATTGTATGAGGCGTTTTTAATTTGCAAATCGTAAATGCCACGCTCCGGACGGTAATCGGGTCTGAAAAGAGTGTGAGAGAGGAAAAGGATAAAAAAAATTAAATTGTGTGCATAAAAACATGTATACTTATATATATATATATATATATTTCTATAAAAGTATGTAAGTATAAAGTAGAAGAAATAACGATATACCAGTTGAGGCACAAAAAGTGCGTGGAATATTGTTATCAGCAAAAAAAAAGTGGAAAATAAAATTTAAAAAAATAAGTGAAAAATGATTAAAAAGAACACCAAATAAAAAAAGAAACTTTTTTTACAGAAATAATAAAGAAATTAAGTTTGAAAAAAGTAGTGATTACACAAATTAAAAATGTTAAAAAGCAAGAAGTGACACGAAAAAAGGATGCGCGCAATTGGCATTTAATTTGGTAACGTTGGTGGACGTGGTGATGGTGACGGTGGTGATGGCGACGGCAGCAAAAAGTGCTTATGCAGGCAAAGATTACAAAATTGAATTAAATGTAATTAAAAGAATTTGGTGAGAACACTAATAACAAAAAAGAGATATTCCAATTTTTCTAGAGAAAAAAAAAATGATTCCAAATGGACAAATTTTTTATTGGTTGAATATAAGCGGATTAAATGCTCGGATGATGCAAAGAATGCAAATGCTAAAAAAGAGCAAAAATTTTATTAATGAAAATAAAAATAAATTAATTTTAATATGTTTCTATTAAAGGAAGGAGTTAAAAATATTGTATCCTTATTATTTTATTTATTTTACGATTACTTATTTATTAGTATTGTAGAAAACATGCCGAATAACACACAGCCGAGGAAATTTTTTGCGCTAACAAAAAGTGTTATTTATATAATTATTATACGCAGTTGTTGACCTTTCTGTCATATATTTCATACTTCTAGCTTATCTAAGCCAGTCAGCTGCGCAGGGCGTAGACGAAACGAACTAATACTAAAATAAATAAGAAAACTAGGCCAATATGACAAAAAAAAGGTTAGAAACCTCTTCATGAGTTGCTTTATGCAAGCTTTCTGTTACTAACAAAAGTTATCGAGATGTATCGACTAATTTAACGATAATATATCGATAGTAGAAAAAGTTTAACAATTTTAAAATAGTAAGCTAAAGCCCTACAGTTATTAATAGAGTTTATCGAGACTTATCGATACTTTCGAACATTGACAAAAAAGTTGTTAATACTTCTTACAGTTATTAATACAGGTTATAGAGACATATCGATTATATTAATGATTATTTATCAATTTGGAAAAATGTTAAAAAAATTGTACATTTATTAATAAAGGTTATCGATATGTATCGATAATTTTATCGATATTTTTACTTTCTTCATACATATATATTAAATTGGAAATATTGCTCTAGTTATTATACTTATTTCTGACAAAACATTTATTATAAAATATATTCTATCGATATTTACCGAATATTTTCTCGAAATTTTTAACAACTTTTTCCAATTTTCTATCAATCACTTTCCTTGCCTGGCTAGATATTTTGAAGTCATTTGCCCTCTCACTTAGCACCGCATCACGCTGTGCAGCAGCTGTGAGTCACTCAGCAAGGAAAAAAGTTTGCGCAAAAATTTTGAAGTTTAATATTTTGACTACTAGTCGAAGTGACAACTTAAATTAACGACCCCGCCATTGGTAACAACTACAACAAAAAAAAATTTTTCGAGGCGGTGCTATTCATATTCGTGTGCTTAAACAGCGAGGAGAATGGGCTAAAGTTTAAGCAACTTTGCACTTCAAAAAGTTATTTATACAAAATGTCAACCATCAACAACACTTTAGCGGTTATGACAGTTTATTTGACGAAAAATTCTACCAACCAAGCAAAAATGCAAGCAAAAGTGTAAGATGAACAGCAGTTTGAGAGTTTGTGTGAGTATTCAAAATGCTGAGTATTGGATACATATTTATTAAAAAAAAAAAATACTAATTAAATACTCCTCCCGCTTTTCCTCGCCCCTAAATTTTAATTTGTTCTTAAGTGTTTGGCTACCCGACCTCTTTAGTTAGTACAGGCATGCGCCACTTTTATAGACGCGTTGACAAAGTAGTAAAAGGGCGAAGAAATAATAAACATAAACAAATTTTTATTGATTGCTCTAATAATTATTTAATAAAAAATTGGTATTGCTTAGCTTGTTATATGTTTTGTTTGTTTGTATTTTTTTTTTATTTATTTTTTTTGTTTTGGTTTTATATTTATTTCATTTTAACATAACATCTACTTTTCACACCGGGACGGCCTGATTCGATTTTCTTGAAATTTGATACATAGGTAGTCTTTTGCTTAGTTAAGCAGCAACATTACTTTTGTTCCCAAGAATTCTAAATAAGACTGATTTATTAGAAACAATCGTTTTTATGGCAAGGATTAATGTATAAGATTTTTCGGAAGTGGACCAAAGGTTACCGAGCAGATATTTGATTAACTTTATTAAGAGAATCTCGGGAACCGATTCGGGTTCATTCAAATAATTCACATTCAGTTTTGAGCTATCTATTTTATTATCACTTTATTATAATATTATTATATTATGTTTTACATTACGTAATGTTTTATATAATTTTATTTGAATTTTATTTAATTTAATTTACTTTAATTTTTTTATTTTATTTTATTACTTTATATATTGTTTTATTTTTTTTTACTTTTGTTTTTTATTTTATTTTATTTTCTTATTTCATTTAATTTTATTTTATTTTATTTTATTTTATTTTATTTTATTTTATTTTATTTTATTTTATTTTATTTTATTTTATTTTATTTTATTTTAATTTATTCTATTTTATTTTCTTTTAATTTTTTTGTTTTATTTTTTATTATTTTATTTTAATTAAATTTAATTTATTTCATTTTATATTTATTGATTTTTTTTTGCTTTTGCTAATTTATATTATTTTTATATTTTTTTTTTAATTTAATTTGATTCTATGATTTGATTTGATTTATTACTTTTTTATTGATATAATTTTTACGTCTATGACCTATACTTCTTAAATATTACTTCTACTATTAATAACAAAAATAAAACCAGATTGTTTAAAATCGTACTTTATATTTTAGTAACAGCCATCAATTAGGACAATTTGTTTTATTTCCAAGAAAATTGTTCATTGAAGTTAAATAACAAGTGCAACCACAACTGGAAGTACCCTCTTGAAAAATTACTCTCACCTCTGCAAATTCCCTCATCAGTACAGAACTAGTGCGCCATTGGCCTGTGTCAATCATTTATCTGCAAACTTTAGACTTTTTCCAGCTCATAAACCAGCACACACCATTTATGCAGCAATTTATTAAAAACCGACATGAAATTTCTTGCATTTTAAAATAAATAAAGGCAATCAATTAGAAGCGATTTGTTGTATGAAATTGTTGAAGTAAATGTCCGGACAAACCACAAATATTCAAATGCAAATATTTATTAATGTATAAAGGTGTGTATGTGTGTGTGTTTGAATTGGTCAAAAAAGCTCTTGTCCAGCCATAATTTGAGTAGCACATGTAGTGATTTGTTGGAAAAATGTATAAGTTTACTTAAGACATAGGTCAATGGAAATTAAATACTCGAAGGCTACAACATTGGCGCTCCGGCACGCCTGTGTGTTATGGACACATACACACGGACATATAAGTTGTGAGTAGGTCATAAAATAAAATATGTCCACCTTCATATGATGTCCGTTCGAGCAATATGTTTATATGTACAAACAAAATGTTTTCTTTTTGTTGCCATAAATAAATATAACCTTATGTTCTTATCAAAATTTGTATTTTTTATTTAACTTTTTTTGTTATGTTTGTGTTGATTTATAAAACATAAATTGATGTTAGTACGAAAAGTAAGTGTGCTTTTCTCCAAAACTAATTTATTGTTTATTTACGAATAATACACGCAGATACTTGTCTGCATTTATACATATGTATATATGCTGAAGTGCGTAAAAAAATAGAAAATTAGAAAACATGGCTAGATGAAAGTGGCGTAAGATTGTATGCTGTGAAGAGCTTTGGATTCGTTTTTACATACTTTTTATTTATGTTTGTCTTTTGCTTTTTTTTCCCTTCAACAAGCATAAAGTTTGGCTCGCTTGTTATTTCTGTTAAGCGGCAAATGTTCGGAAATCGTTTTAAAAGTGAAAGTAAAAAGAAAGTGAACTAAACTAAAGAACAGAAATATAGATTTGTATATAGTAAATAGGAAAGAAAGAGAAAGCTAGAAACATTCCCAGGTTAAAGGGAGTGAGAGAGAGGCAAGAGTAGAAAACTATATAATGTAAGAGAGCAAATGATTTCAAAACTGGAGGGAGAGCTATATAAAAATATTATGTTTGCCCCGTCGAAAATTACAAAATTTAAGTACTGAGACAATTAATATTAAGAAATTTAAACTATTGTGTTTTTAGCGAAAAAATTTCATTACTAGAAAAGATCACAGAAATATAGAGAGAAAACCGAAAAGAGCAAAAAAGAAGTATACAGAAGCAGAGAGGTGGTGATATTGTTAATACCAGAGAAATATTTGGTACATGGGGCGCCAAAAACTGAAAAGTCGAATGATACATGCATATAAGGATAGACAGTTTGGAAAATTAACCGTTCTTTGTGCGAGTAAGACACAAAGAGTTAAAAATGAAGCGCGTGCAGCGGTTAGACAAAATTGAGAGAGATCGAATGAGATGTATATGTTAAATCAGTTTTGAGTGGAAAGAGGAAGCAATTAAGAGTACTATTTTAAAACTGATTATAATCTGTCAATTATTTCAATCAGATTTTGTAAAATAACTTTTAAATAATAAGCTCTAATTAAGAATAAAAACGCAAGCAAATATAACATTTTGATATCAACTGTAAAATAAGGTTTACAACTAGCTATGAAAAGGATTTCTTCGTCCGTTTATTACTTTCTAGCGTATATATTGAATTTAAATGATTTGTTAAGTAATTAACTAGCAGTAAAAAATACAGCCAGGCAAGGTACAGAACAAAGTTATAAAAACAAA